GTGGCTAAGGTCAACACTTTGATTAGACCTGATGGGGAGAAGAAAGCCTATGTTTGACTTGCTCCTATGACACTTTGGATGTTGCCAACAAAATTGGGATCATCGGGAGGGGAAGAGAAAAAAAAATTGGCATCACCTAAACTGAGTCCAGCTGGCTAATTATAACTACAAATTTTTCTTACACACACAAAAAAGAAAATCAAAGTACTTCACCATAATAAAGTAAATAATAAGAACTATATGATTCTAGCAATTGATGCAGAAAACACATTTGACAAATCCAACACCTCTTTCTGATTAAGACACTCAGCAAAATTGGAATAGACAGGAATTTCCGTTGTTGTTGTTATGTGCCGTCGAGTCGCCTGCGACTCATAGCGACCCTATATACAACAGCCCTAAACTCCGCTCTGTCCTGTGCCAATCGCACTGTCTCTGACACTCCCATCCCAATTATCCCAGTCACTGAATCAATCCACCTCATAGAGGGCCTTCCTTTCCTGTGCCGTCCCTTCACCCTCCCAAGCATGATGTCCCTCTCCAAGGACCGGTCTCTCACTACATGTCCGAAGTAAGTTAGACAGAGCCTCAGAATCCTTGCCTCCAAGGAGCCACCCGGTTTAACACTCTCCAGGACAAATCTGTTTTCCTAGCAGTCCATGGTATTCTCAGTACTCTTCTCCAGCACCACAGCTCAAAGGCATCAGTTCTCCTTCTATCCTCCTTGGTCATTGTCCAACTCTCTGATGCATAACAGGTGATTGCGAAGACTATGGCCTGTATCAGACGCAACTTAGTCTCCAGAGAGACACCACTGCTCTTCAGCACTTTGGAGAGGTCCCTAACAGCAGACTTTCCCATGGCAATGCGCCTTTTAATTTCCTGGCTGCTGGTGCCAAGACTGTTGACTATGGAGCCAAGCAAACTAAAGCTGTGTACAATCTCAATCTCTTCACCATCCATCCTGATGCTGCCGATTGGTCCAGTGGTGAGAATCTTTGTCTTCTTGACATTGAGCCTCAATCCATATTGCAGGCTGTAGTCCTTGAACTCTGCAGCAGGCGTTTCAGCAAGCAGGGTTGTGTCATCCGCATAACGCAGACTGTTGATAAATCGTCCACCAATCCTGACCCCACATTTCTCCTCATAGAGCCCAGCCTCCCGGATAATCCGGGAGGCTGGGCTCTCAACATAGTATATATACAAAACCAAGAACCAAAATCATTTGCAATGGGGAAAAATTAAAAGCATTATCCTTGCAAACAGGAACCAGACAGGGATGCCCACTGTCACCACTTTTATTCAGTCTTGTATTGGAATGCTTGCTAGGGCAATATGACAAGAGAAAGAAATAAAAGACATCCAGATCAGCAAAGAGATGGTTAAACTATTGCTATATGCAGATGATATGATAGTGTAAACAGAACTCCCCAAAGTCTCAACTACATGTTCAACGCAATCCCAATACAGACACCAAATTCATTTTTCAAGGAGATCAACAAGGAAATTGTCAAGTTTATTTGTAGAGGCATGAGACTCCGAACAAGCAAAACACTTCTGAGAAATAAAAAGAAGTGGGAGGCATCACATTCCCTGACCTCAAAACCTTCTATAAAGTGGCAGGAACCAAAATAGCATGATACTGGTACAATGACTGGCAAGTAGACCTATGGAACAGAATTGAGAAGCCAGAAATGGACCCAGCTATCTATCATCAACTAATATTTTACAAGGAAATAAAACTTATCAAGTGGAGTAATGACAACCTCTTCAACAAATGGTGCTGGCAAAACTGGACTGTTACCTGCAGAAAGCTGAAACAGGATGTACATCTTATGCCAGACACAAGAATCAACTCAAGGTGAATCAGAGACCTGGGAGTAAAGCCCAAAACATAAAGTTCATAAGAGACAAACTGGGGTCAATCTTAGAAAGCCTACTCTATGGTATAAAGAGACTGCCAAATACAGCCAGAAGTGCACACTCTGAAGAGGATAAAATTGATGAATGGGGCCTTCTAAAGATTAACTCCATGTGAGCATAAAAAATTTTTTTCCAACAGGCTGAAAAGAAAGCCTACTGACTGGAACAAATATTTGGCAATACTATCTCAGACAAGAGTCTCCTAATAAAAATTTATAGAATACTCCTGGGACTCCACAAGAAAAAGACTGATAACCCAATTACAAAATAGACAAAAGAACATGGAAAGAATTTTCAGAGAGGATACTGAAGTGCCAACAGACACATGAAGAAATGCTCTAAATCACTGACAATAAAAGATGCAAATCAAAACCATAATGAGATACTATCTCACTCCAGTAGCAGTGGCAAAATTTAATAGGACAGCAAGTAATAAACATTGGAGAGGATGTGATGAGTTAGGAACTCTTATACATTGTTGGTGGGATTGTAAAATGGTACAACCACTCTGGAAGGCAGTTTAGCATTTCCTCAAAAAGCTGAACATAGAAATTCCATATGACCTGGCTATTCCATTGCTTGGAATATACCCCATGAAAATGAAAACTGGGGCTCAGGTAGAAACTTGTACACCTATGTTCACTGCAGTAATATTCACCATTGCAAGAATACGGAAACAGTCCAGATGCCCAAGAACAAATGAATGGATTAAGAAGTTGTGGTACATTCATACAATGGAATGCTACTACCTAACTTGGGAGGGGCTGGAGAGCATTATGGTGAGTGAACTAACTCAGTCCCACAAGGACAAATAACCATTACTGTAGAATGAGTATAACAACCTAAGTAGCAGGGGTTGAGGGTGGAAGCAGAGAGGTGAGGATGGGAGAGGAGGATGGGTTGTTAATCATAGGGTTGCACAATTCAATGGAGGCCATGAAGGAAATGGGAAGGGTCTTTTGTGAAAAATAATGTATTTAAACTTTGTAAATAAATCAAAATAAAATAAAAAAAACAACAAACCAAAACCCCCCAAAAAGAAATCTATTACAGTTTACAGAGAAGAGAGGCCTGTTCAGAATAAAAAGTTAATGCTGGGTTGGTAGTAAAGTCAAAGGTTTGTTTACCCCAAGCCTGCATTCTCCTAGAAGATCATACAATATCAAAGGTGTTACAGGCCAAAAAGAACGCACTACATCAACATGAAGAAGAAAAGCAGCAGACTCACTTGGATGATTTTGCTTCAAGAAAAAGACAAAAAACCAGAAGACATCAGTAAAGTAAAACTAAAGAGGGGAAAAGTAGTTTTACTGGTTATTTGCAGAAAACCGACAACTGTTATGAACAAAACAAGAGAGGAAACCATACACAAATATCACTCTTGAATACTATTGGAAAAATACGAGTAAAATATAAGAAAGATAATGTTACTATTTCAATCAAGGAAGGAAAATCAATGCTGCTGTTTATATTCAGAAACTATTTGATTCATGTCAAATACTACAGAACAGAGGAGAGCTTAGAAAGTATTATGCTGAGTGAACTAACTCAGTCTCTTATGGACAAATACTTCACGCGTCTATTGTAAAAGAAGAAGAATAATTAGTAAGATGTATATAAAAGTCCAGAGGGAAAGGGAAGGGGGAGGAGGAAAGACAATGGAGAGTGATGGGGGGGGCAGCATGAGGGCGAAGAGGAGAGAAATCACTGGGGTTTGGTAGGCAGATGAAGGGGGAAAAATGTGAGCTGTTCTCTAATCAACGTTTTTAAGATAATTTAAACCCACCAAAGGCAAACACGCCACAGTTGAGACACATCTGAACCCTAGCAGCCCACAGAGCTGAGTAGAACAGCACCTCAGGGTTTCTAAGGCTGCCCAGCTTTACAGAAGCAGGCTGGTGGGTTTGAACTATTGACCTTTCAGTTAGCAGTCAAGCATTTAATCACTGTGCTACCAGGGAACCTAAAATAACCTAGCACAGGAGAAATTATATCCCAAAGTAGATCTAATCTCTCCCTTTCCTTACTTGTTGTTAGGTGCTGTCAAGCCAGCTATGACTCACTGGGATCCTGTGAGCAGATCTGGACCTTGCCCTAATCTGCACCATCCTCCTCGCTCTGTTATACTTGAGCCCGTTGTCACAGTCACAGTGTCTTGTTGAGGGTCTTCCTCTCTTTCTCTCACCCTCCACCTTTCCCATGATGTCTTTTACCAGGACTGGCCTCACCTGACAGCATGCCCAAAGTATATAAGACAAAACTTCATCCTTGCCTCTGAGGAAACTGTATCTGTAAGAAAGTCCCCAGGGAAGCCAGGCTTTACTTTGTACAGAAACAGAACTATCCCATCCGTGTGTTTCATAGTGATGTTACAGAAAACCTTTTTCCTAAATTAACTACTGTTTGGGGTACGTACTATGGAGTCAGAACCAACTCAGAGCTGACCCTCCACAGGGTTTTAGAGGCAGTATATTGCATAGAGGGTGGATTCAAACCATCTGCCTTTGAGTTAAAAGTGGAACTCCTTACTACTAAGCCATGAGAGTTCCAAACTATCTTAATTCTTGTTTCATTTTCAATGCTAAGAATGGAAAGGAAAACTTATTTTGGTTTAAAAATTAGTTATAAGAAACAGCTTTCAAATCTTAATTCTTAAAGCTATGGTATTCAGGATACAGTACGAGGTTTGATCTTTATTCCCTGACATTAATAGGGAAAGTATCTTGAGGTAATAAAGATGATTGCCAGATTGTTGTACTGTGGCTTGCATGTTGCTATGATGTTGAACTTGATGCCACCACTATTTAAAATACAGCAGCATCCCCCCATGGTGGAGAGGCTTCAGAAGAGCTTTGAGACTAAGGCAGACTAAGATGCAAGACCAGCTATCCACTTCAGAAAACATGCAGCCTGGAAAACGTTATGGCTCTCCATAGCCGTGGAAGTAGTGAAATGTGTTTGTATTATTATTACCTACATATTAGTTCTGTCCTAAGAATGAGTAAGTCAGTAAAAAATGATAAGCTCACACCCCTCCACTTCACTTAGGAGCCACAAGGCACTCGGATTGCACACACCTGCTGCAGCAGAAACATGATGTGGATCCACGGCTGAGGTTCCTGGCTGGTTAAAACAAAACTGGACTTACTGTACAGGCAGTAATGGCCCTTCAGGGTGCAGGTGAAGAACAACTTTGCTACACAACTTTTAACGGTATCTAGAAACAAATGCATACAACATCAAACATTAGATTATTTCCTGAATAACATTGCATACTTTAATACATATACAAGCTTAGACAAAAACATTCCTCAGTTTTAGACTAAACCAACCCCACCTCCATCACATCCGTTCTGGCTTATAACCACCCTCCCTCAGGTCTCTGAGACTATAAATTTTTACAAAAGGAGATTGCCAATCTTTTAAGGACAATAAATGAGGGATGGAGAGTCAGAGATAGTGAAGAGCCAGCCAATAATAAATGAATGAAGCAAACGTAAGTTGAGACTAAACATGCCAGACATTGTGTTCAGTGCTCGAGAATAATAGCCACGACTGATGGGCTACCAGGTGCTTTATACTCTTGATTCTTTTACATTTATGTGAGCTGAATATTAGAGATGCCAGTGAGGACAGTACTGTAACTGTGTTGTGCACCTTGGCCCCTGACACACAACAGACGCTCCATAAATGTTGCCTGAATGGATGAAGAATGCTTAGGGATCCAGGGGAAAAGATTTTATTCAAGGCTATAGATATCATTTATGGCAGAGGTAACATTTTAACTTAACTAAGAAGCAGCCAGAAGTCACGGTGGTGTATCGTACATTCTACCATGCTGGAGATTTACAGTCTGTTGAGTCATATTGCTAGTCTTTGGAGGATTTTCTTTTGGAGAATTGTTCTAACTTGCAAATGTAATAGATGTAAAATTATTAAATTCCTTATTCCATAGTCTTGTTCATAGATTGGTCACAGTTTTGGTTTGCTTGGATCCACAGTCAACACTCTTAGCACCAGCAGTCAGGAAATTAAAAGATGCATTGTGATGGGAAAGTCTGCAGTTATAGACCTCTCTAAAGTGCTGAAGTGCAAAGATGTCAGTCTGGAGACTGAGGTGCATATGATACAGGACATGGTCTTTGCAATCATTCGTTATGCAACTGAGAGCTGGACAATGACTAGGGATGATAGAAGGAGAATTGAAGCCTTTGAGCTGTGGTGTTGGAGAAAAGTATTGAATATACCATGGGCTGCTAGGAGAACAAACAGGTTTGTTTTGGAGAGGGTGAAGCCAGGCTGCTCTTTGGAGGCAAGGATTCTGAAGCCTCGTTTGACATACCTTGGGCATGTTGCAAGGAGGGACCAGTCCTTGGAGAGGGACATCATGCCTGGGAGAGTGGAGGGACAGCACAAGAGAGGAAGACTCTCGATGAGATGGATTGATTCAGTGACTGGGGTAATAATGGGGGCAGGTGTGTCGGAGATGGTGAGGTTGGCACAGGATAGGGCAGAGTTTAGGGCTGTTGCACATAGGGTCACTATGAGTCACAGGCGACTCAATAGCACATACAACAACAACAACAACATTCCATAGTCTTAAACATGGAAATGGATCAGAGTTTATCACACGTTGTTGGGGGCATGAATAATGGCAGCACTGTGATCTCACCTGAAAGAGTGAAGTGCATTCCCAGATGCTGGGACAAAGGCTTATTTATGCGTGTGCTAGCTGAGGGTCTGGTGTGAAGGAAGAAATAGGCGTCTCAGGCAGCGTCCTCAAGAACTGCTGGTGAGTGGACAATAACTGGTGGAGAAGCCCTTTGCAACTAGCCAATAAAGCCCCAATGAAACTTAGGCAATGCATATGATATGTTATATAATTACACTATGTAGCATGTCTATTACACACACACACACACACACACACACACAATTTGTTGTTGTTAGGTGCCATCAAGTCAAGTACGACTCATAGTGACTCAATGAACAACAAATCTGAACCCTGCCCTATTCTGTGCCATCCCCATCATCTCTGACTCACTGCTGTAGTCACTGTGCCAATTCTTCTCTTTGAGGATCTTCTTCTCTTTTGCTGACCATCCACCTTTCCAAGCAAGATGTTCTCTCAACAGAATAGGCTCTACTAGCAAAATGCCCAAAGTATGTAAGACACATCATTTTTACCTCCAACGAGGACTTTGGATGCACTTTCTTGAAGACATAGCTGTTTACTCAGAACTCTTAATCATACCCTCCTTCCTTGCAAAAAAGAAATAAAGGAACAAAACACCAATTCAAACCATTAAGTTACCAACCCTGTCTCATACTGACCCTGTAAGAATTCTTCAAGATCGATTAAAACGGATCCATAGGGTTTCCAATTGGAATCTGTCCAGCCTGCCATGTCTTTCTCCCACAGAACAACTGGTGGGTTCAAACTGCTAACCTAGTGGTTAGCAATTGAGTGCTTAGTGACTGCTCTATAAAGATTCCTTGAATATGGAATTTCTAAGTTCAACTTCTTGGAGAACCACCAAACTAACTGCCTTCTAGAATGTTTGTACCATTTTACAATCCCACCAACAATGTATAAGAGTTCCTTTCTTGCCACATCCTCTCCAACATCTATTACTTGCTGCCCTGTTAAATTTTGCCATTGTTACTGGAGTGAGACGGTACCTCATCGTAGTTTTATTCACCATCACAAGAACATGGAAACAGCCCAAAAGTTCAACCACAAATGAGTGGATTGAGAAATTATAGTACATTCAGACAATGGAATACTATGCAGGAGTAACAATTTTGTAAATTATTATCTAACTTGGGAGAGACTGGAAAGCATTATGCTGAGTGAAGTAACTCAGTCCCACAAGGATAAATATTGTACAAAACTATTATTGTAGAATGAATATAAAATCCAAGACAGGTGGGAGACGTTAAAAGCAGAGGGATGAGAATGTCCAGGGGGGAGGGGAGAATTAATCATTGGGTTGTACAATTTGATGGGTAGGGTGGTGAGGGAAATTGAAATTGTTCTTAAAATCAAAGTATTCAAATTTTATAAATAAGCTAATAGAAAATTTTAAAAATTAAGTACAAATTTTAAAGAAAAGATTTCTTGAATGGGTATATTGGGTCTCCATAATTTTCAAATATCAATGTGGAAAAAGACTAATTTTGGGGAAATCAATTATTATTACTATTTAATAATTTGGAAACAATTTTGGACTGAGCATTTCCTATCTTTAAGCACAAATTAAAGATCATTTCTGCATTCAGTAGGTGAAGGAGATTGTATAGAGTGTTTGAAAACTCAAGGAAAAGGACAGCAGGCTTAGTGCTGAGGAAAAAAGATACAGAAGAACAGAACAGAGGGCATTAAAAAATTACAGAATTTGCATTTTGACAATATGATTCTGGTTATATTATTCATATTTAATTCTGATATCTCAAAAATTTGAATTTAAACTGATCTAAACTGAGGAGGACCTGAAGCAGTTGCTGCAGAGGGTCAAGGACTGGAGCCTTCAATATGGATTGAGGTTCAATGTCAAGAAGATGAAGATTCTCACCACTGGGCCAATTGGCAGCATCAGGATGAATGGTGAAGAGATTGAGATTGTACACAGCTTTAGTTTGCTGGCTCCACAGTCAACACTCTTGGCACTACTGGTCAGGAAATTAAAAAATATATTGCCATGGGAAAGTCTGCTGTTAGGGACCTCTCCAAAGCACTGAAGAGCAATGGTGTCTCTCTGGAAACTAAGGTGCATCTGATACAGGCCATGGTCTTTGCAATCACTTGTTATGCATCAGAGAGTGGGACAATGACCAAGGAGGATAGAAGGAGAATTGATGCCTTTGAGCTTTGGTGCTGTAGAAGAGTATTGAGGGTACCATGGACTGCTAGGAAAACAGATTCATCCTGGAAAGGATTAAACCAGGCGGCTGCTTGGAGGCAAGGATTCTGAGGCTCCGTCCAACATATTTTGGACATGTTGTAAGGAGAGACTGGTCCTTGGAGAAGGACATCATGCTTAGTAGGGTAGGACAGTGCAGGAGGTGAAGGCCCTCTATGAGGTGGATTGATTCAGTGACTGGGGTAATCAGGATGGGAGTGTCAGAGACCGTGAGATTGGCATAGGACAGAACAGAGTTTAGGGCTGTTGTACATAGGGTTGCTATGAGTCGCAAGCGACTTGACAGCACAAAACTACAACAACAACAACAACAGAGGATAACCTCTGGTTTGCTGTATGTAGAAGGTCAAGGACTGCAGTCTTCAATAAAGATTTAAACTCAACATCAAGAAGACAAAGATTCTCAGCACTGGATCAACTGGCAGCATCATGATAGAGTTAGTTAACAATTTCAGCTTGCTCCTTTTTGCAAGGGACCCTCTTGGCACCATCAATTAGCAAATCAAAAGATGACAGATGACTTGCAATAGGAAAATCTTCTGTCAGGGAACTCTACAGAGCACTGAAGAGGAAAGATGTCAGCCTAGAGACTAAGGTGCACCCTTAGGATTAAAAGTTGGCTGGACCCTTGCACCTGGTGTGAAAATTGATTTGCTATTGGACTAAATCATCGGTTTGCTGTATTTGGGGAGAACACTGCTCTAATTGGTACAATAATAATTTAGAGTTTACTGCACTGAGATAACTTGTGGGTTACTGTGATACTGAAAGCTATGCCACTGATGTGTCAAATGCCATAAGGGTCATCCATGGTGGAGGGGTTTTCATAGAGATCCCGGACAGACTAGGAAGCAGGCTTGGCATCCACTTCTTAAATAACAGGCCACTGAAAACCCTGTTAATAGTACAGGGAAGTGGATAGTTAAGAGTAGTAGTGGTAGAGACCAGATTGGAAGTCAGTTGAAATGAAGACAAATAATGGCAAACATTGTTCAATAATTGGAACATGGAATATACACAGCTTGAATGTTGGAAAACGATTGTTGTTGTTATGTGCTGCTGAGTCGCTTGTGACTCATAGCGACCCTATGTACAACAGCCCTAAACTCTGCTCTGTCCTGTGCCAATCACACCATCTCCGATACACCCATCCCAATTATCCCAATCACTGAATCAATCCACCTCATAGAGGGCCTTCCTCTCCTGCGCTGTCCCTCCACCCTACCAAGCATGATGTCCTTCTCCAAGGACCGGTCCCACCTTACAACATGTCCAAAGTATGTTAGATGGAGCC